TTAGAAATAAAAAGGAAATGCAATAATTTAATTTAGTGCTTAACTACTCATAATAAATTCGAAGTTGCATGTCCAATAATAAATTATATTTGTTTTAAGAAAACATATCCTTGGTATCGTCATTATATAAAGTGTGTAAAAATTAAATGAAAATAAAGAATATTGAGCTTCATTTTCTGTTTTGTACATAAAGAATTTTTCCATAGTGAATATCTTGACGTAATGAAAAATTTATATATAATTAATTAATATGTGTTCGAACTAATGTTCCGACCCGGTAGGTATCACTCGGGTCACCCGCGGGTAGGCGTTGAATTATGACCACCCGGGTGGTCAACCCACGGGTTACCCGCTAGCAGAATTGCCGATTGTGTCCTAAGTGATAGATATTCATTGCTTTTTTAACATATAAGAATAGAAAGAGTAGAGTTCAATTTTATTTTAGAATGTAAATATAATGTGCATTAAACTTAGAAGTGTTTTTCAAAATAGTGCCGAGACAATAAAGCTGTAGTTTGAGCTACTGTTTAGAGGTACAACTAAAGCAATAGAGATTAAACCGTGACGCATATCAAAAGACTATTAATGATTCATGTTCCAGTATGACATTTGAATCAATACCTCATCACAATATGGCTTGAACTAGGACATCCAAGCAGATAATAACTCCAATTAAGCTATCCAACTTCATGAAGATTTACTACATATTTATATTTAATACATAAGTATAAAGAGTACAGTATACGGATTAATCTTAGTAGTTAATCAAAAATATCAGGCCCGTAAATATTTATATACTGCTTAATTCATTTTATTTGCATTAATTTAGTACATGAGCATAAAGAACATTTATAGATCTAAGCTTTCAGAATAAGTTATTGAATATTTACTGTTAGTTTATTTTAATTTAGTGCATGAATATAAAGAATATTTATTAATCTAAAGACTCAAGTTTTAGATTGTGAATATAATGAGCAATTTATACGCATGAATTTAGTGTATGAATATAATAATATAATCATTTAAAATAAGATATCCAGGTTCATGAATATTTACCATTTAATTTCATTCTATTTGCATTAATTTAGTAAATAAACATAAAGAACATTTATTAATTTAAGTATTCACGTTCATGAATATTTATTATTTAATTTTATCATTCACATTAATTTAACGTTAATTTAAATATTTAAATAAGCTACTCAACCTCATGAACATTTACAATTTATTCAAGTTAATTAGTTGTTGAGTACAAAAGTACAAAAACTATTTTAAGTGTCGTTGCAGGATTTCTATTACCACCTGGGGACCCAGATGACCCACCCGCGAGTGACCCGGGTTGGTATTTTTGTGACGGGTCGAAACACTATTTTGCGCACTGTTTTTGATTAAACAGGATAATATACTAAAATCACCTAAATTAAATAGATATATGACAATATGTCTTGTAGAAATAAGACGCGTAAAAGTTATATAGATGATGATACTATTTGCCTAGAGGTTTAATATCCAAATTGAATCAAAATTAGGTCGAATATTAGATATCAAGATCTTGATTTAAATTTGATAGCTGGCTTTTAACCGTATATTAATTAACTTCTAATAAATGCCACTGTTATTATCTATAGCAATTTTGATTAAAACTAATAATTGTACAGGTCTGACACTATTAATATCGAATCATAACCAAGTAGTGCCAATTAGGCTTATCAAATATACTGTACTTAGGAAGAAAAATAGAGAACTTGTTTTTTTACGTAATTTCCTTTATATCTTGCTTGAGAAACTATAATTTATAAGGTTTGACACTGCAATAAGTCTCGGAAATAAAGAATTTGCTTTTTTCTTTTGACATTACATTAATGCCGAAAATCCAATGCCGATAACACACTGAATTCAACAACTTATCAAATTTGGCCGAAACAATTTTTATCAATTGCCCCAGAATTTATAAAAACACATATTTATTAACAAGTATTCAAACCTATTTATTTTTGCGAATTTCATGCACCTTAAGGTAGATTCAATTATTAACTAGAGACTCTGGCGAAATTAATCAAACCCATTTCACCAATTCAACACCAATTTCACAAGTAGTGGTAGTTTATTAAACTAACAAAATTATTTTGTCACTTACTTAGATATATGATTAATAATTTATCGGCTATAGCCGGTTATTTAACCATATAACTAATCGCAGTCAAACAGGCTAAAAGCGGCTAACTGATAATAACCGACTGATGACCTGTTGTAACTGACCGAACCCATTCCTAGGCACAAAAATGTGTAAGTACTATAACATAAATGCCAAACATTTTCTCGTAAGCATTAATGCAAGCTTCTACTTTTTGTTTCCTATAAAATTATAATAATAATCGATAAAAAATTGAGGGAATCGCATTAGAACTACACTAAAACTAATTGTAGCACACCATGCAATATAATACAACCTACATATTTCTAACTCCTTTTAAACGATTCAAGCGCCAAGTTACTATTTATTTTATTTTGATTGCAAATATTGAGAAAAGTTTATTAATCTAAATTTTAAAATAAGCTATCCCAATTCATGTATTTAATATTAATTTAAATTTATAAATATTTATATTAATATAGTGTATAAAATGTATTTATTAATGAGCCATTATATTAATTTATTTAACAACTTATAAAAATTAATGATATAAACAATTTTAAGGTTACTAATTTATTTATCCATAAAACCATTCTGATATAAACAATGCATCTGATGTTACGATTGGTCTATCAAAGTATTGCTATTTACAAAATATAGATTCCATCATAATTAAGCATAGAACTATTCCTATTGTTATAAGAGAATTGTTGACAAAGTTTGAATTACATCCTGAACTTTGAGAACAACTATCTCCGCTCTTACATTTAAAGTTAAAATCTCATTTAGTAGCATTTACCACCATTTCTTCTAACGAATATAACAATTTTAACATTGCTGCTATTTCGTCTTTTGATGCTGTTGTATTTGTATTAAAGTCAGATAAAGTTTTTATCTGATCACATAGGATACAAGAATCATTTATTTGTACACCCGACTTTACTAAACTCATTCCAAAATTTTTTATACATTCTATCAATTTCTCTGTTATTTTATCTATATGATTAGCTTCTTTATCATTATAATTGTTTCCTTTTGCCAATTTTAATACTCCAACTTTCTCTTTAATGATATATTGAACAATTTTTTCAACAACTGCTTGTGA